CCTGTGTTGAGGATGTAGAAAGCTTCACTGGATGTCCTCCTAAACAGGAGGGAACATCAGATGAACTACAGGTTCTCAACTTCAATTGAGATCATTAGAGGCATTGGGGGAAGCAGGGTAACCAAGTAGCTGGAGTTCCTGAACTCTTGGGTGGCTTCAGCCTCTCACCAGTGACCCAAGGGGTGTCAAAAGCTCTCCCGTATACATTGGGTGTTCAGATTGGTGGGTACTTGACTTTTTCAGTCACATTCCTCTCTGATTTTTTGGTGGATTTTACATTTTGTGGTGGGGGGTGGCTGGGGATTGAATCCAGAGCCTTTCACAAGCACTATTCCACTGATGTTCATCCATCCCAGGGGTCCTACATTTTTATAATAAGTAAAAAGAAACCTCTGAGAATTAAAACAAGTTTCTGCATTTTTAGAACCAGTCTTAACCTCATTTGATTACTCAATGGCCTCAAACTGGTTTTGAAAAGGTACCGCAATGCCACTCAATAAATTCCCTGTTGTCAGAATACCTACTCTTTCATAGGTGATGTTAGACGCTTTTTCCTCTGAAGTGCACTTACCCATCCCTGGTCTTCATTCTCGAAAGCTCCATGTAAGACGAGCAGCCTGCTGTGTGTGGAGAGACTGTGCCTACTCGTGTAGTTTTCCTTGCTGGAGTGCACAGTTAAGTACAGTTCTGTCTTTTTATTCCAGACATTGAATGGTTGTCTCATCATCCTTTGACAAACCAAAGCCAAATGATGGTTTGGCAAAACAATCATTTTGATTGCTGAGTAGACATCATATCAGAAATGCAACAGCGGAAGTGGAGACTGATAAGGCTGTTGAATTTTTTAAAAAGATACCGTCTCAATATGTTGCTGAGGTTGGCCCCAAACTCCTGGGCTCAAGCAATCCTCCCGCCTCAACCCTCTTGAGTAGCTGGAACTTCAGGTGTGTTCCACCACTCCTGGCTTTACCGCTGCTGAAAATCTTATGTGGGATCAAATGCCAGAAATTATGGAAAAACATAAATTTGGCACTAAAAACTACATGGAAAATACCATAAACAGAGTCAAAAGAAATTGCGACTCATATTAGCAACAGTGGTACAATTTTGACAATAAGGAAAAAAAAAAAAAAACCCCAGGGACTCATCTGCAAAAGGCGGGGGTGGGGGAGGGCAAAGACATGAAGAGAATTTCTACAAAATATAAATAGCTATTAATCATGTGAGACCTCTTTCAGTATAATAGGAATGCAAATTGAGACTATAGCCATTTTTTATGGATTAGATTTTCAAAGACCAAAAAGTCTGACAAGCTTGATTAGGGATAGTGTGGTTACCAGGCTCTTGTCTGCATTGCTGATGGGAAGTATAAATAGGAATAACTTTTAATATGAATGATTTTAATATACCTATTGGATTTTAAAATATACCTATTGGATTTTTTTTGGCACTAAGGTTTGAACTCAGGGCTTCATCCTTTCTAGGAAGGTGCTCTTGAGCCACACTTCCATCCCATGTTTCAATATCTATTTTGGGAGAGAGGGTCTTGCTTTTTCCCCAGACTAGCCTGGACTGTGACCCTTCTAGTTTAAGCTTCCTGCCATAGCTGGAATGACAGGTTTGTGCCACCATGCATTACTTTTCTTTCTGATGAGACAGGGTCTTGCAAACTTTCTTTGCCTTGACGGGCTTGTAGCCATCTCAGGTTCCTAAGTGGCTACTAGCACCCCAGCTTATACCTATCATTTGGCTTTTCTACTTTTAGGGATTTATCCTATAGGCACAGTCAACAAATGTGAATGATCATTGTTGAGGAGACACACTGCAGTATTGTGTATAGCAGTAAAATACTGGGAAGAAATGAAATGTCCACCTGTAGTGATTTGCTAAATAAGGTATAACATCCATACAAAGGAATTCTTTATGTCTGTTAAAAAGAGAATGAGGACAATTTCCAGACTACACAGTGAGGTTGAAAGGAAACAACACATGGGCTAACTATGAAAGGACACAAAAGAATAGTACTTGGGACAGGGAGGCAGAAAGGCCTTGCTTTGGAGCATAATTCTCCTGGTACTGTTTGACTGTCATACCAGGCATGTGTATTTCTCAGAAAAAATATGCAAAATAGAAAAATTTAAAAGTATTGCAGTTGCCTGGGTGATATCTTTGTGGTAAGGGGTAGTAATGGAGAGCATGCATGACTCAGGATGTTTTAGAGGAGAGCTGACAAGACACCCAGGTGGGGATGTGTGAGATGAGGGAAGCAAGTCCTCAAGAGTAGCTGCTAGGCTTGTGGCTCACAACTGGCAGAGATATGTGCTATTCACCTTGCTGGGGAGCACTTACGGAAGACAGGTAAATAGCATTTGTGGGAGAATTCAAGGATTAAGAAAAGCAAAAAGCCCCTCTTGAATAGGGAGATTCCTATTAGTCATTCAAGTGGGGCTGTCAAATGGGCAGTTAGATTAGCTGTGTTATCAGTCTGGAATGGAGCTATTCTGGAGCATCAGGGTATAAATTAGCACTGACCAACAGAGCATGATGTAAATCTCACTTGTAATTTTAAACTTTCTAGCAGCTAAAAAGGAAAACAGGTGAAATTAATTTTAATATGTTATTTCATCCAATATATACAAAATATAATTTCAATGTGTAATCAGTTGAAAATCAACATCTTACATTCCTTTTTGCACATTAAGTCTTTGAAAGTTGGTGTATATTTTATATTTCCTACATATTTCAATTTGAATTAGCCACATTTCCAGTGCTCAAAAGTCACAGGTGGTGAGAGGCTACCTATTGCATATTTAAAGCTCTGGGAATGGAGGAGTGGAGGAGAGCCCAGGGCTAGACTCGAGCGCACTTGAACACCTAGAGTTTGAGTAGGAAAAGAGGAGCTTACAAAGGAGATAGCAAATGAGAAAGCACAGTAAACAGAAGGAAAACAAGGCACATAAAGCCTCCAGGAGGCTAAAGGGGAGGGTGTCCACCGCATCAAGTGATGCTGAGGAGTGACTACTGCATTTGAAAAGCTGAAATTGTTAGTCACGTAGTCAAGACAGAGTCACTACAAGTGGAAGCTGAAAAGGGAACGGGAGGTGGAGCTGCATAGAGACATGTCATTGCAAACTGATCTCTCCTCTGACACTCTCCCCCCACCTTTTCCATCTATATTTTGATCTCTATTGGGGACTCAAGCTAGAAACCCAGGAGACACTCACATCAGTCTTCTCTTTCAGAACTTAAAACTGGAGTTTTGCACCCAAGGCCCAAACTCCTGAGATTCCATAGGCCCGGTCCAGCCACCTGCTCCTAAACACCAAATAAAGAGCCACGGTGAAGGCAGAGAAATGAGGTTTATTGCATGGCTTGGGGCATGCCATGGGAAGAGGTGGAGTAAGCACTCAGCTCATCCTCAGCCATCTTCAGGGTATAGACATGCCCTATAGGTTTAAATAGACAAAAGAACTGGGGGCAGGGGACAAAAGTATGCGTAAATAGTTCAGTCACAGTTGTGTTCTGGTAGAGCATTATCTCAGTCCAAGGGTTCCCAGAGGGCTTCTAGAGAAGATGTTATTACCGTCATCACTTGAGGGGAGCAACCTGGTTCTTCTGCTCTAAGGTGCAGCCTCATCATTATAGGTAACTGTCCTCTTCTGGAGGGGTGGTCTGTCCTGCACATTCCACTGTTTCTCATGGGAAGTTTCAGTTCCTTGTCATAAAGAAGTTATCAGTTTCCTCCTTTCTGGAATCCAAAGTGATTGCAAAGTGACTGTAAAGAGAATGGCTTAGAGCAGAGATAATACAAAATGGAGGCAGGGGAATGCTAGGCTTCACCTGTTTTTAGTTAATTTGTATGCCCAAGGTGTCAGTGTTTCAGCAAAAGCCATTTCAGCGCCTCTTACAACCTCACAACGTATTATTTAAGGTCATTCTCATTTTGCCTCCTAATTACTTAGGAGGCAAGCTGATTCTGTCTCATTTGTGCCATACTTGTTTGTTCTCCAGGATTAGCTCTTGCTCCTGCACTACCCTACTTAATAACCCTGGATTATTCATCCGCTAGCCTTGCTACCCTCAAAATTCTCTTGGCAAATCCCAGGAACATCTAGAAACTGGGCCAGAGGCTGAGCTCACAAACTGAATTTAAAAAAAATGAATCTCAGGGGGTCTTGCTACTCTTCCAACATCCCTGCATGACTCCTCATTCAACAGATGTGATGTTTCTATTCTTGCCTGCTTTCTTTCTTATTCCCAGCTCAATCTAAACATATAGGACCAGCCCTGTTTAGTGCTGATGTCTCATTGTCTCTCTTAACCCACCCTCCGTGCTGTCACCCCCTCAGTCAGTCACCTTGATCAGCTCAGCCTTACTGAGCCCAGGTATCAACTTCAAAAAGCTTCAACTCTACTCATCTTCACCTTCCCCCAAAGCAGGCTAAGCCATGCACCTGCTCCTACTTTTCAAGACGCCCATCTCTGTGGACAGAACTCAACGCCTCTCTGCCTCGGATCTCATCATGGTTACTCATCTTCCTGTGTTAAGGATTAGTTTCTGACAATCTCTCGGAGTCAAGCGCGGACTCTGATATCAGAGCGCCTGATGGCATTCTGTGTTCCCTGTGCACGGTGGGGCACATCGGAAGCCGCTCCATCAAGCCCGAGAGGAAGAGCAGTCAAGGCGGGGGTGGGGGTGGAGGTGGAGGAGCTGCTCCGAGAAGAAAGCGCGAATTTAGGGGTTCCCCCCCCCACCCCAGGCCGGGCCGCCCAGTCTGGCAGGAGAACGCAGGGCGGGAAACCAAAGGACAGGAAGGCGGGGCAGCGGGATCCTTAAGAACCCCCGGTAGCAAAGAGCAACGGGCAAACCCCGCCCCATCACCACGTGACCACGGGCGCCACGTGAGTGCAGCCGGGCGTGACCCGCCGCATCACGTGAGCAGGGCGGGCACGTGACCGCAGCCCTTGCAGGCTCGGGCTGCTCTGCTTCCGGCTCCAGCCCCAGTTGCAGCGGCAGATGGAGGAGGACGAGGAGGCGCGGGCGCTGCTGCCCGGCAGCCCTGACGAGGCCGGCAGTGGAGCCTCCGCCGCTCCCGGGGCGCTGCCTGCCCTCTGCGACCCCAGCCGCCTGGCGCACCGGCTCTTGGTGCTGTTGCTCATGTGCCTCCTCGGCTTCGGTGAGCTGAGGGGGCGGGGGGCAGTGGGTGATGGGGGGAGTGTCCACCTTCTGGACTGTCCACTGGCTGCTTATGTGGCGTCCGATAGTGGGGTCGAGGGTCTGAGCTGGGATAGTTTTGCTCCAAGTCCCGGAGGACAACAGCTCGAACGTGGGGACGTAGTTGTGAAGGACTCTAGAGCGCCACAGTCCCTCTGGGCGCACGGTGCTCGGAATAGATTTACAGGCATGGACTGGGATTTGAACTCAGGGCCTCGCGCTGGCTAGGCAAGCGCTGTATCACAAGAGCTAGCCCCTCGCTCTTTTTGCTTTAGTAATATTTTTGACAGGGTCTCTCGCTTTTGCCTAGGAGGCTCTTGGCCCGCCCCCCATCTCAATCCTCGTAATCTTCCTCCAGGGTAAGATGTGATCTCCTGCATTTTAAAATTGTTTTGAAATGGATGATTTCTGTGGCAGTCTTTTGCGTTTCTCACCCTCTTTGGGATAGTGTGCACCTGTGCCTTGCGGATAGCCTCATGAGTGATGTGTTCTGCTGATCTTGGGATCCGCCACTGTGAAGCAATCACAGGGGACTGGACTTGTGGTAGGCCGTTGGTTTTGCTTACGAAATGTAAGAACTCAGAACGCATTTTCTTGAGATAACTTTAAAAATATCTTTCCCGTGTTCCAGCTTTTAATTCGAATATCAGTATTAGCTTGGTATCAAAGAATGTGTCTTTCACGAGACTAGCCGGGACCTGTGCTGAGCCCGTTTAGGAGCATATAGATTAGTCACTTTAGGTTACTGCCGGAATATCTAAGTGGGGATGAAGATGCTTTGGGTTTTGACTCCCTCCCTCCCCCCGCCCTTAATTGGAAAGATGGTGCTCATCCATTAGCTTTAAAATGTGGCATTGAATCCCTTCTATAAGGGACTAAAGCAGACTGAGAAGTTTCTGGGTTTATGAACAAAACCCAAAGTGAGGAAACAACAAACACAGAATTGTCCCTACTCATGCACACAGCTTGTTTGGTATATTTAATTACATGCCTGGGTTTTGGAAGCAAGATTCATTCCTTGCCAATAACAATTTTTGTTCTGTTGATAGCTGGCTTTGTGTACTTGCAGTTAATGGTGAAATGGTGGTGGAAGATTCTATCTTACCTTTAAAATAAATCCTAGTTCACGAATATCAAATCTCTTCCCAATTCTTGTTCTAATCCCCAAGACATTGTCGTGTTTAATTTGATCTTTTAGAACTTTTATTTTCTTCACTTATAGTACTGTAGTTGCTAAATTATTTGATCTTAGGTATTTTGTTTGTAACATTAGGAATTTGTTTTAAATACTGGTCTAGTTAGAGTAGCTGCACTCCATTCTGCTCTCAAAAAAAAAATGGTGACCTCAGATAATGTTGGGAAACTGCTGAGGACGTTTGTAAGACTTTTATGTTGGCAGCTTTACATAAAGAAAAGATAGTTGCATCATGAGAGTGTTAGTAAAGATGTGAAGTGTGATGAAAAGAAAATGTAAAACGGTTAGCTGTTGACTTCTTCATACAGGTTCCTGGTATTTTCTGTTATGTACCCTACTAAATTGTTGAAGTTCTTTGGCTACAAAGTAGAAATAGTGGTACTGTAAGGAAGTGGTCCAAAAATGTTTCCTTTAGGTCAGCAGCCCTTAAATCCATTGTGGGTTTAGAATCCCCTTTGGGTAGTAATGAGGAAGGAGTTGCAACTTGAAACTTTTATATGGACACTACTATTCCTTATAAACTCTTTGCTGTTTCCTTTTCTAGGCAGCTATTTTTGCTATGACAATCCTGCTGCCCTTCAGACCCAGGTTAAAAGGGTGAGTTAACTTTCCACGTTGTGTCTTTTACCTTTGAGCATTTGTAGCTGCTAAGGCTCCTTTGTGTCAGGCTGTGTGGTCAACAGTGGTGACTGATTTCATTGGAACATCTGAACATCTATAGTCACGAAATACATACCTGCAAGGAGTGTTCTTAAGTTGAACTGAGTTGCCACAAAGAATTCCATTATGGCACATGTGACTTAAAATTGTTTTGTATCTTAGGTGAATAATTGTGTGCTGTTTCTATGGTATTGCCAAATATATTAGTTTTTGTTTGTATTTCATTTTCTCATTGCTTATCTGAATGATAGATAATTTGGTGGGATGGTTTGCTTTCAAATATGTCTTTGTTTTTATTTTTACTCATTTATTTCTTCTTATTGTTTCTTTGGTTGTACTAGAATTTGAACCTAAGGACTTGCACTTGGTAGGCAGGTGTTCTACCACTTGAGCCATGTCCCCATCTATTTTGTTTTTTAAGTGTGAATACTGATTCCTGAATATTGTCCATGTCAGTAATCCTAGCCTGGTTTTGAATTGTAGAAATGTATTTGGTGTTCACTGCTTTTTCAGTATTTTGGTAACCCTTTTTTTTTGTACATTTCTTACCATTGGGCAGGAGAAAATGCATAGCTTGCCCCTAGAATGACAGAGAAGCAGGTAGGAGTTGGCAGGGGTTGGAGGTGGAGAGGATAGGCTAAGATTCTTCTTTCCTATGATAGAGGAGTCCCCATTGCAGCCAGTAATAAGGAAGCAGGCATTTAGAAGAGCAGGCATTAGAAGAACAAGGTTGTCCCCAAAGCAAGTGTATGGTCTGTGAAGTCCCTGAAATGCCACATAGACTCAAGAAGTTCTCAGGTGTGACCATTTTTCTGTGCAGGCGCTGTAGCTTTCATGAGATTTTTCAAGGGAGTAAATGATTTACAGATGGTTAAGAAATTTTATACAGAAATAAAAATAGAACTGCTTTCTGTGTTAGATTGTCATATTTTGATTTGTTAGTTGCTAAACCTAACTGTCCGGAAGAAATAGTTTTATTTTCTTTCCATACAGGATATGCAGGTGAATACCACGAAATTCATGCTGCTGTATGCCTGGTATTCTTGGCCCAATGTCGTTTTGTGTTTCTTTGGTGGCTTTTTGATAGACCGAGTATTTGGAATACGGTAAGCTTGAGAAAAAAAAATCACCTATGGGCAAATCTCACCTGGTTATTGAGAAAATGTAGGGCTAGATTAAAGTATTTTTAGAATGAGATGAACAGACTTGTATTTTGACATGATTAAAAAATTTTTTATACCTCTGGAATTGGTACACGTAATGTCAGGACTAGCAAATGCTGATGGGATAAGGTAGCTTCGGCTTTCTGGAGGTAAACTATGCTCATCCTTTGGACCACGCCGACTAGGATCTGAGTCACTTTGCTGCCACTTGCTCAACTTCTGTTCTGAGCCATTTGCAACTTTCTGAGCTGCAATTTCCTCTTTACTAAAATACTGATAAGAATTCCTGCCTTGAAAGATCGCAAAAAGGAAATTAAGAGTGGATGTACAGTGTTGGTACGTAGGTAGCTGGTACTTCTTCAGCCTGGTGAGATTGCCTATGGGACTTAAATACCCAGGAAGGAATAATACTGACAAAAAAGCTTTGTCACTTTTCATCCTAATGGTTGTGTGTCTGTTAGTGGAGACTTAGAGAATGACTGGGAATATTTTCAGAAGGCAGAGGTAAAGGTGATGAACCACATTCAAACCATGTCTGCCACATGGGTAGGAGTTGAAAATTGGGGGCTAACCTTAAACATTTTTGAGCAGTTGTAATGTGAAGGAAGAGTTACATATACTTTCCTTGGCCGCAAGGGATAGAATTACTATGAATTTTCAGAGGAAAGACTCCACTTAGAGTGAGGAGGAGCTTGCTTGGTTGGGTTGGGGGCTGAGTAAGTTGTCTTGGCACTGAAGAAAATTTCTAGTGCTAGAACATTCAGTGCAGCATGGTGAGGCGTTTACAGGATCTTCAGAGGGACTTAAATGATGGATGGTCTTTAATTTCTCCTCTTCTTTTTTGTAGTGGCACAGGGATTTGAACTCAGGGCCTTTTGCTTGTCCTTTTTTGCTTTAATTATTTTTCAGGTAGGATTTTGCACTTTTTCCTGGGGCTGCCCTTGCATCTTGACCCTCCTACCTAGCTCTCCTGTGTATCTGGGATTATAGGCAAAACCCATCACATCCAGCTTTGTCCTGCAATGGGGATCTTACTAACTTTTTGTCTGTGCTGGCCTCAAACTGCAGTCCTTCTGATCTCTGCCTCCCCAGTGGCTAGGATTGTAGGCATTTAACACTATATCCAGCCCAAGGACTCTTCTAAAACTGACATTTCATTATTTTGAGGGAACATGAATCATTCAGACTGTAGAATGTTGGACTTGTAATTGTATTAACATGATTAAAAAGTAATTTTTTGTTATCAAGAATTACAGCTACTGAAGACTACTTTAAAATTCCTTAGAATAATCCTAAACCGTTAGTTAAAAGTTTATGAAGGATTTCCATTTTAAGTAGTTTTGATCCTGGGAATTTCTTGGAGATTATTAAGAGATGATAATGCTAGAAGTAACATGCCATTACTGAAGCCTCTGGAGCCCCCTCAGAGCCTGGGCTTCTGTAAATTAGCATCTAGCCTATGGAAGTGGCTGGTGGCAGAGGCTGATGGGCACTTCAGTTTTCTTTTCTTGGAGGGAATTTAGAGTGGACAAAGAAAACCAAATGAATTGCTAGTAAAGGACTCTGTGATTACTAATAGTAATGTAAGAAGAAATTAAGACTTTGTTTTCTCTCTCAAACAGATGGGGCACGATTATTTTTAGCTGCTTGGTTTGCATTGGACAGGTATGAAAGGCCAAAGCATTTATTGTTTGACAGTAACTTTTGAATTCTTGTTTAATTAATTCCACTGGCAAAGATGTGTTTAATGAATGCCTAGCTTAATTAATCAAGCCCATAAATACTCATGTGGTATAATGTAGTGTATTTTAAGTCTTGAAAGACAGGAGCATTAATATTTTAATTTCACAGATTTATTAAGGAGGAACAGTAAAACTGTCATGAAGATTGTTGTGATTTATAAATTAACTATTTCTCTTGAATGCCTTGAATTTATTCTCTCATTGATTCAATATTCTAGGTTGTTTTTGCTCTGGGTGGAATATTTAATGCTTTTTGGCTGATGGAATTTGGGAGGTTTGTGTTTGGGTAAGTCATGCATAATTTCATTTATCTTAGCATATGTATGAAGGACTTTTGGGGATATTTGATGCTGGACTTGAACCCAGGGCCTCTAACATGCCAACTACTTCATCTACCAATATGTTATATCCAAGTCCCTTATGGATTAAAAAAATATTTTTATCTCTTCCAAGGAAGTACTTCAAATCCTGGAAATTTAGTGACTATATGTATATGACCATTTCTTTGTTGTCTTAATTTTCCTTGAAAACATAAAATAATTTTGAGTGGTCATGGTTAACTCTGTGTAGAACTTCTTTAGAATTATTTTTCTTGGGCCCTTTTGCTTGTTCTAGTGTATTAAAGACTGATCTAAACATCATTTGGAAAAGTACAGACTGACCACTTCTAGGTTGGTGACTCATGCATATCTCACCCTTCCTCAGTGAGAGAACCTTGCTGGAGACAGCACCTGTAGGCTCATAGCCTTGTGCGAAGTTTAGCGTCTGTTAAGTCAGCCCATTCCAGTCCAGCCTCCTGCCCTGAGACACAGAGGTGACGGGACTTAGTCTTCACCTTAAAAACATAATTTATTCAAGCTTTTAACCTGTAACAGGGGCATTCAGACATGTGACATTTGTCCCAAAGTACACTAAGTCAGAGCAGGGATACAAAATGTATTTGATCGTGAAAGGGATTCCATGAAAAAAATGTAGTCAGAAATAGCCTCAGATGAAGGGGGCCAGTGCAGAAGGAGGGGCTTTGGATTAATAGAAGAGAAGGAAGATATTTTTAGTTTGGGACAAGAGTGTGGAAGAAGGACTCATTCTTAGGATCTGGAGGAGGTGAATCTGCTAACTGAATGTATTTAGGGGGTGATAGTAACTGAAGGAAAATGAAAACCCAGGAATTAGGAGAATATTGAATATTTAGGGTCAGTGTTGGTACTGATTGATGGAGAGCCTTTTGTATTGGCCTGAAAAGTGAATTCTTGTTTTTACAAAGTATGGATCACTTTCCCCCACATCAGTGCATTACATAGGGAGATTGGTGATGTAGTGACCCAGATCCCTTTTATTGCCTGTTCTAGTCATTAATGCAGCACATAAAATGACTCCAACATATAGAATAAAGCTGATTCATTTTGCTTGAAATTTGGACCAGGTACAGTATACAAATAGCTTTTCTGTGCCCTGATGTCGGGGACCTCAGTTGCCAAGATCCATGGAAGGCTGCATCTGGGGACTGGAATCATCTGGAAGTTCACTGACCCACATCTTGGGCACTGGGCTTGGCTGCCTGGAAGAGTAGGACTGCTGATTGGAGCACTTACACATGCCCTCTCTGTGTGACTTGCTTTCCCATACCATTGGGGTGGCCAGCCTTCTTACAAAGTGGCTCAGGACTCCAAGTGAGTGGTGGAATGAAAAGACAAGTGTCAGTTTTATGATCTGATTGGGTTACTGGGATCACACACTGTCATTTCACCCACCATGTTCTCCTTGTTGAAGCACTCATAAGCCCTCCTAAATTCAAGAGAAAGGGACAAAAATTCTACCTCTTGATATCAGGAGTGTCAAAATTGCTAACTGTGGAATTTAAAGGTTGTAACTTTTCTTCCTAATTCCATTTTTAGGATTGGTGGAGAGTCTTTAGCAGTTGCACAGAATACATATGCTGTGAGTTGGTTTAAAGGCAAAGAACTAAACCTGGTGTTTGGACTCCAGCTCAGCATGGCTAGAATTGTAAGTATGATGACAGCCTAAGGAAGCCAGATAGGAAGCAAAGGATGGAGTCTGGTAGTTCTCTCCATGATCACAGCATGGAGTATGCTTGGGTACACAAGTGTGGTAAAATAGGGATTGATCTTTAGATATTTCTCTATAACAGAGTAGAGCATTTGCTGGGGTTTAAGTACAGCATTTCTTATCTTATTTCAGTTAGTAAACAGTCATGAAATGGCAATGTGAACATTCTTTAGTTCAGAGAGTTAAGTTGCCTAATATCTCACCCATTTTTGACAGCCTTGCTGTGAACATCTCCATTTGTGACCATCCAGCTTCTGGTTGAACACTTCCAGGGATGGGAGGTTTGTTGTGTGATGGGGCTGTCTACTCCAGAAACTTCATGAAGCTCAGCCTCACTTAGACATGAAACCTCCCTTCACAAGTAGCTTTTATTGGTGGCATGTGTTCGGCTGTCTCACCCCAGTGTTCACACCTCTAGAATGACCCCAGAGGTCATTTGTCTCCCAATGATTTTCTGTTGCCTGAGAGCTGAGTTTGTCAGAGCTCAGGCACTTGGACTGTTACCATGCATCTTCAGGCAGAAGACTTCTCCCTTTCCTTTTATTCATGTCTTAGCTGGGAGTGGGAGGCCATGCATTCTTTTGATTTTCCTTCAGAATTTGTTGCTTTTAAGCTTATTATTTCAACAAGTACTTATTGAGTACTTGCTAAGTTAGGTTGTGTGTGTGTACTTTTTTTTTTGGCAGTACTGAGATTTGAACTCAGGATCTTGCACTTGATAGATATGCACTCCACTCCTGAAGCCCTTATTTTTCTGATAGGGTCTCATGTTTTTGCCTGGGGCTGGCAAAACATGAGGTATGTGATCCTTCTCCCTACTCCTCCCATGTAGCTGGGGTTATAGGTGTGAAACACTATGTCAGCTTGTTCTTTGAGATAGTTGGTAACGTTTTTGCCTGTGCTGGCTTCAAATAGCAGTCCTCTTGTTCTCCACCTTCCAAGTAACTGGGATTACAGACAGTAGCTGGAATTACAGGTGTGAGCCACCACACCCAGCCTGTGCTAGATGTGTTAGAATTAAAGGAATATCAAGGCAGCACCCCTGTTTTTAAGAAGCTTATATTTGCAGTGATATTGGAGAAAGTGTCCACTAAGTCTCCACTTACCTTATTTCTTGGTCGAGTGATGCCATTGACAGCATTTTGTAAGAAGTGCCCATGTGAAATTTGTGACACTATTTGCTGTGAGAATATTGTTGAGGACATGGTCATTTCTCAGCCTTTGGTAGTGTCTGACCTCTCAGTAGCATTTAGCATAGCTGGCATTCCCTCCTGCTTGATTTCTGGAGTCTCAGGACACCACAATCTCATCCTCCTCCTCTTGCCTTCTCCCTCTTTTTGTGGCTCCATTTCACTTTTCTCAACCTGTAAATGAGGGAGTGCCCTAGGGCTTGGTTTTGGGCATCATCTTCTTTCTGTCAAAACCCACTGCCTTGGTGATCTCATCTAGTTTTATAGTTTTAAATAGCGGTAGCTCCCTCCTGAATTTATGTCACTTGTCCAGGTCTTTCCCCTGATTTCCTCACCCATGTATGCAACTGTGTATTCTCTGTGTCCCCTCAGCTGTCTTGTAGGTAAATCAAGTCTAACATACTCTAAACTCAGCTCTTGATATTCCACCCATTACTCCCGTAAACCACCTCCTCCTTTAGTTTTCTCATCCCAAGTTAAGGACAGCTCTTTCAGTTGCTTAGGCAAAACCTTGGGGTCATTCTGAGCCTCCTCCCTGACATACTTTTGTTAGCAAATCCTATTAACTGTGCCATTCAAATATGTCCGTATTCTGATCACGTCTCACCACACCCCACTGCTTACTGCTGGTCCCAGACTCCTCCTTTGTTACGGCTACTGGGGGAGCTCCCTGACTGGTGCCCTTGCTTCTGCTTCTGCCTCACCTGTGGTCTGTTTTGAATCTAGCAGCCTGACTCAGTCTGTCAAATCAGAAATGGGTTGTGCTTCGTCTTTACTCAAGACCCCAGTAGCTATCACACAGAAGCCAGCAGTTCTGTCATCATAAGTAGCTCCCTCCCGACCATCTCTTCTCTGGGGGCCTCACCTCATGTTCCTTCCTCTTCATTTACACTATTCCAGAATGCACTGCAGCCAGCCAGGCTCCCTTGGGGGCCTGTGTGCTGTCCTCCTGTCTGGACTGCATCACCAGGTGTCCTCACAGCTCCTTCCTTCAGGTTCCATTTCAGTCACACTCTCAGTGAGGCTGCCCCACTTTCTGTTCTCCTTCCCTGCTTCACCCTTTCCTTTTTTCTAAAGCACTTGCCACTGTTTTATATTCTACAATTTTTCTATGCCACTAATATGTTGTAAGCTCTGAAAATTAGGTGGTTTTTGTGTTCTTTATTGTATGTTGAACACCTGAAATAGTGACTGGCTTGTGACAGTGGCTCAGTAATTGCTGAATGAGTGAGGATATTCTCTGTTATTTCTGCTCATTTGTGTATGTTCAGAAGAACACCCCCCATTTTATTTTTTCTGTGCAACTGGTTATATTTTTGTCTTAGGAACTCTGAATTTTATAAATTGTGTTTCATTTTTGCTTTCTTTGTTAGCAAGTTTTAAATGCACTGTGTTAATTTGTGTGCTAGCACTTTCTAATAAACTGACATTTTTTTTCTTGATAAAGTAACCTTATCTATGACTTTATCTTAGTCTGTTAGTTTTTTTTTCCCTTTGTAAGTTTAAAAAAAAATTATCTCCTGGTTAATCTGGATCCTAATCATACTTATTTCTTGAAGCCACCTTAAATCATGTTCTTTTTCAAATGAGGCAGAGGTATAGATAATTGGCAATTGTGTTGATTTCTTCTTTTTTAAGGGAAGTACAGTGAACATGAACCTCACAGGATGGCTGTATTCTAAGATTGAAGCTTTATTGGGTTCTGCTGGTCATACAACCCTTGGGGTAACACTTATGCTTGGTGAGTGAATTCTGACGTCTCACATTCTGTCACTTCTGAAGGCTTATTATAGGGAGTTCTGTGACAGAGAAGAACACTGGACTCCGTGAGGCCACTTTGGTTATGATTTTACCCCACCACTCCCAGTTCACTAGTTTTCTTGCCTAGCTAAAAATAGCCAGTCATTTCCACTTTCTTAAAATGGAGGATTACTCCTCATTTACTTCAGTGATGTCATTTATCCTATCTATTCAAAGAGATGTGTTTATGAAAATTGAGGCCACTCAGGGGATGTATTCAAGTAAGGTGTCAGTAAAGGAAGAATTGTTTCCTTTTGATCGAATTCAGTGGGTATACCTATGGGGCTTAGATTTCATAGGAGTTTGATGTGATATGTTATAGTTGAAAATCCACTAGGCTGAGAGTCAGGAGCCTGGGTTCTAGTGTTGGTTCTAAATAGTTCTCATTTTGGGCAAGGAAATTGACCTTTGTGTCTCAGTTTTCTATAAAATTGTGGGTCTTTGACCAACACTGTGTGGGTCCCTCTTGTTCTTGAGCTCGTGGCTCCATGGCACTAGTTCCTGGGTAGGTAACTGAGTAGTATATGAAGCTCTCTGAATTTACCTCTTATGCTTTTCTTCTCAACAAAGAATCTGTCTAACAACCCCATGGGGTGCATATGGCTTCTTGTAGGGCCTACAGAGATCGTGGCATGGTGGGGTAAAAAGTCTTGTTCTCAAGTTTTGCATGTCTTTTCTTCCTTATAATTCTTTGGTACATATAGCCTGGTAAAAAGAGTACAGTGAGGTAATCCTAATTGGAAACATAACTAAGGATTTCCCTTCTGCTAAACCCTCCCTCTCAAATCCTTTGCTTTAATTAAAACTTTCCTCTCAAATGCTCTTTAGCATTCCATCTCCTTTTCTCCACAGTAGAGAATTTTAGAATTTTAAAGAATTTTGGAGCCAGAAAATAGCCTTGTCACCATCAGGTCAAAGTGTCTTATTTTACAGCTGGGGAACTGAGGCCCAGATAGATTAAACTCTGTGCCCAGAGTTATTCAGCTTGCTAGTGCCAGCAGTGGAACCCTTGTCTACCAGCCCTCATTTCAACTAGTTTTTCAACCGAACCATAGCATGTTAGCCAATTAAAGATTCATGATTCATTTAATCTACTAAGCTTTTTGACCTTCTTCTTGAAGTGTAAACTGAGAAAAGCTGAACTCACAGGAGGGAGAGCCTAAGGGAGCCAGGCTTTGGGTGGGTGGAGCTCTCCTGCTGGAGAGTAGGTTACATGTATTACAAGGTATTACAAAGGCTTCAGAAGGAAGATGAGGTGGCTACCAATCAGACTGCTTTTATACACTCCCCCACCCACGCCAGATCTCTCAATAGTTGGTGCTTAGACTGAATTAAATGAGGATACATTTGCTAGCTGCTCATCTGCTTCCCCCAGTCTGTATTTTGCTCTACAAGACTAGACTAGTTTGTTCTAGCCTTTTCCTTCTACTTTCCAACCTTCCACATGGAAGTAGTCGAGTAAAAGTGACTGCTGTTGAGTATTTGCCCTGAGCTGTTCCTCCTCTTCTGTCTCTGAGTACTAATTGTCATCTTTCTTTACTCCTGTCTGTAGGTGCTTTCCCTTTGGGTTACCACACTTTTGCTGTGTATGGAATATGCTGCCTTTTGGGAACTTCTGCTCTGGTTATCTTTTTAAAAATCTCTCTCTCTTTCTGTCTTTTAAATGTAGGTTGTATAACTTGTGTTCTTTCACTAATCTGTGCCTTGGTCCTTGCTTACTTGGATCAGAGAGCAGAGAGAATCCTTCACAAAGAACAAGGAAAAACAGGTAAGTCTAAATGAAAGAAGAGTGGGGTTTTGAGGAATTGTGGCCTTCTATAAAGAAATATACAGTGGGGTAAGTTCCTGATGCAGTGTTGTGAATCTGATGGGGCTGAATACATATATTTTATTTTTCTAAATCCAAGTCCACTTGTCTAAATTTTTGGTTACCTTTTTCCCCCTTAGACGTTTGGCAGCATTTACAGTCTCGATTGTACTCGATACATGAGCAAAATGATTACTGTTCTTGGATGCGAGTGGGAGGCAGATACCAATCTTAGTGTTTTCTTAAGTCTGTGTAAGAAAAATGTTCTTTAAAACTGAATTACAGAGACTGATCATGTGATTAAAAAATAATCTTGGCTAGAGGTGAAAGCTCTGCAGGCATGTAAAATTTGCTCATGACGTCTTCCCTTTCTCTCCTAGGTGAAGTTATTAAATTAACTGATATAAAGGACTTCTCCTTACCACTATGGCTGATATTTATCATCTGTGTCTGCTACTATGTTGTGGTGTTTCCTTTTATTGGACTTGGAAAGTGAGTATTTTCTAACACCACTTTTCTTAGCTAAAGTATAACAAGAACTCAATCCATAAATATAGTTGATTTTTTAAACAGTAAATCTTCTCTGGTTATAGTTTATATTTACACAGGAATTATTTATGTCCTGGAATGCAGTGGTTTTCTTAAAGTTTAGTTGGGTTAATACTTTTGTTATTCTTTTGAAGAAATACTTAACAGTTTTTGATTCATAATACTAATTTAATACTTGATTTTGGACAAGTATTCTTTTTTAATTTCCTTTTTAACCCCTTGATTAGAAGGCTTCTTCATATAAATAGAGACTATGTATGTACTGGTGCACTGTGACTGGGTGCATCACTGTTAGTTAGGACTGTAATTCTACCAGGCTTAAATTCAGAGTTCAGAGCAAATTCTTCTTTGCTTTCTATTCTACATCTCTTTTCTTGATCACTGATGTATGATTGTGTTTATAGGGATGTATTTTTTCATCTTGTTCAGTGATGTATGATTGTGTTTGTAGGGATGTATCTTTTCATCTTTATCGCCTTTAAAATCATGCTGTCATTTAAAATAACTTGAGACAAGTTATTATTTAGTAAAAAGCCTATCCGATACTGCTCTTAAGGAGAAGTACCCTTAATTCTTTGTAGTAGAATATTGAGTTTTCTGAAAGTTTGGATGCACTGATGGCAGTCAGTGCAATACTTACGTAGAGACCTAAGCTTTAGCTGTTTGCTTGTTGATGAATATCAAAGAAGGTGGGAAATACTATCAAGAAAGAAATGTTTACTAAACTTAAGAGTCATTTCTATTCATCTTAATTTTGCTTTTATGTTTTGAAAATACTGTAGTTCTAATGTACACATTTGTCTCTTTAATTTTAGAGTTTTCTTTATAGAGAAATTTGGATTTTCTTCTCAGGCAGCAAGTGCAATTAACAGGTATTTCCTTAATTCTCTAAGTGCTTATTGCATGCAAAGTATGGTAGTCTGTCTAACCAAACATTCTCAGAGACAGAAAAGAAGTGACTTAACATCCCAGTGTAAAGCCAAGACTGTATTGGGACTTACATCCTTTGCATCAATGGAAAACCAAAGAATTCTTGGACTGCTGTGAATATTTCTCTTTCCCCATGGCCATCTTAGAAGAATGCTGAATTAAATAAGTCAGAATTTGTTCTGCTATTACTTTTAAGCACTTTTTGGTACTTACTTTCAGTGTATTACATTTCATTAACTTCCTTACATGTTCTCTGGGCAGCATTGTCTATGTCATATCAGCTCCCATGTCCCCAGTGTTTGGGCTCCTGGTGGACAAAACAGGGAAGAACATCCTCTGGGTTCTGTGTGCAGTGGCCACCACGCTCGTGTCCCACATGATGCTGGCCTTCACGATGTGGAACCCTTGGATTGCTATGGTAACGTCTTTTAGCACCTGGGTAGGGCGGGGCTTCAGGGGACTCAACAAGTCCCATGTCAGGGGGCACATTGGGCAGCCTGAGATAGTTGTACTTTGACAGCCGGGAAACGACTCACTCAGTATATACAAAATAATTATTTTTATAAGTATGATCATAAATTATCCATAAGGCTTCTTTTATTTCATTTGGTTTTTAGTAGGGTAACCTCCATGTAAAGTAGAATTTGAAATAAAATAGCCTTATGAAAGTCAGAGTGCTAATTACTTCCATTTATTTTCCCGAACTTCATTAAAAGAAGTTACTCCATCAAAGGGGACAAAAATATTGGCCCAGCATCCATTCATTTATCTTTGACTCTCAGTAGGTTAGAAAGTGATAACAGATTCTTTAAGTTTTTGTTCTCCAAAATTTCAGTTTTAAGATCACAAGTTGAAGTGCTGCATTTCTTACCTGTTAATGAAGTTGCATCTTGAATATAAATATTTATGCTCGTGGTAAGAATTTGCATAGAAATGTTCCTACAGCAACGGTTCAGATTCCTTTTTCTTTTTGGCAGCATTGGGGTTTGAACTCAGGCATTGTGCTTTGTTAGGAAAGCGCTCTACCACTTGAACCACACTCCCCAGCTGCCTTATTGTTTTAGTTATTTCTCAGTTACAGTTTTGCACTTTTGCCTGGGACTAGCAGGGTTCTTCCCTCCACCTTGCCTCCAGGGAAGCTGGAATTGCAGGCATGCACTGCCACGCCCCATAATTAATGTCTTATAGATGCTGAAAAGCTTCTCTGGCAACTTTTTACCCGCTCATAACTCGACAGTAACATACAAATGTGTCTTTTCCTTGCCAGCGTTGGGCATTGGATTACTTTCACATTTGCCAATCTTAAATTCAAATCATCAAGTTTATTTAATTGAGAGAAAAATCAGCACTAGGCAATGTCTGACAAGCAGAGGAGGCAGTTGTTGGTTCCTGCTGTGATTTCCAGTTGAGTGTTGATGACCCAGAGGCAGGAGAGTGGACTGTTGGCATGAGGTTGCCCTGGTTTCTCAATTTGTAATCCCTAGTAAATAGTGGACCAACATGCCTGCAACATTGGTAAGAACTTTTTGCAAGTTAGTTTGGTTCTTGACTCTATCCTGGGCCTGTGATGACAAGTGAAAATATTAAGACTGTATATCTTGTCACTAGAGGAATACTCTTAAGGCCAACAGTGTTGTCGTTTGTATATTTTGAGTTTTAGTTTAATCACAATCAAATTTACTTCAGTAGTCATAGATTAGCTAGCATGTCACTTTTACTTATTGCCATCAAAGGACTGACAAAGGACCTGTCTTTCCATCATGCCGTCTACAGTGTCTCCTGGGATTCTCCTATTCATTGCTTGCCTGTGCATTGTGGCCAATGGTGGCATTTGTAGTTCCTGAACATCAACTGGGAACTGCATATGGCTTGTAAGTAAAGAATTTACACAGTGAATCATGTATGGCTCTCTCTGCTGTGTCAGTTTAATTATCACAAAAATCCAGGACGCCTGAATGTAGTCATCATCAGATATCTGGGACAGCACTGAACCTGGAGATAGTAGAAAAGTCAATCTATTTATGATACTCCCATGGGTAAGACAAGTGTTCAGGCCTTCAGCAGGAGGGCTGGAGTAAGCCAAGCCAATAGCTTACATCCTTGCCCCTGCCCATTCAACTGAGGACTTCTCAGTGAGAAGTTGAGCTCTATCCATGGTCCAATAAAGCAAAAGGGGGCAGCTGCACAGTGGTTAGTATTGAGGTAACCTTTTCTTTCATCCAGCAGGAAGCATTGAGGACTTAACTGCACTTACAAGGCCAGCTCCCTTACCTGTAAGCAGATGGTTTAGTAGCAGAAATAGTAAAAGGCTAAAAAACAAAATCTGCCTAAGTCACCCCAGCTGAAAGCATCTCTTCACATTAGTAGTATGTGGTTCACAAATACTAATATTAATAGTGAAGTATTTGTCTGTGGTGAAGACTTAAAAGTGAAATGTGCCTTTTTATTTCCTGCATTGTAGCATGCAGTCCATTCAGAACCTTGGGCTGGCTGTCATTGCCATCATTGCTGGCATGATATTGGATACACGGGGATATTTGTTTTTAGAAGTTTTCTTCATTGCCTGTGTTTCTTGTGAGTATGCCATGTGGCAACATTTAGTTTCTTTTAATATGTAGCAAAATGTTCTTATTTTTTATCTTTAGGTTTTTGTTGTTACCCCCTCTTCCCCTCATTTTGACACCAAATCCCTAAGCTGTATGGCTCAGATTTGCCTAATTCTCAGCCTGTGTATTAGACTTTCACAGCTGGTGACTTTCTGGTTAGCTCTCTGAAGAAAAATGCACAAGCATTTCTCCGGAGATTCCTTTCTATAAAGGTAGCATTGGAATCACATCATATTCTGTTTTAAATATTCATGCTTAAAAAATGTTCCCTTTAAAGTGGAAGTTTTGAAGGGTCCTGAGTATATTTCTGGTATGTGATGTGTGGATGGTCATATGGTTTAGGTGTGAGTGCTCATAGTTTATTCATTATGCAGTTGTAAATTGAATAGTTAGTTTTTACCTGTAATGGTGCATTGCTTAAAATTAGTAAAACCTAATCAGCTTTTTTCCGCAATCTTTATAATACATACAAAGTGTGTTTATCTGAAAATAGATTCTCCTATAGCATATCAGGATGTCTTTTATGCTTCTATAACAAGTTTGAAATGACAGACACGAGATGATTTTAGCAAATTCTGTTTTCATTCACAGGAAGTAAAGGCCATACTTGAAGTGTGGTATTTGTAAACAATTGCTTATGAGTACCTTTGAGTTCATTTTATTATCAAAGTTTTAGAAATTAGCACATCAAATTTAAAAGTAAATGTAAAAAAGGATCTTTGAGGAATTCTAAACAGTCAGGAAGTGTTTTTGTCTGTTTCTGACACTGCAACATGCAGTGTGACTCCATTCCATAGTACTCCATTCCATATACTTGGGTCTCAAACTAGACACCATGCACTTTACAAACGTTTGGGTTGCCATGTTAGTTTAAAGTAAATTAAACAGTGTGCCTCACTTGGTGAGGGAAAAAGCCAAGCTCTAATTTTTGAGGTCTTTACTGGTTCTGGGCTTCTGGGAATCTAATGATTATGTTTTAATGTTTCATTATTCCATTTGCAAAAATGCACATGGAGTGTTCAGACTTAAAATCCTCAAATGGCTACTTCTGTTTGCTGTTGTGTAAGATAATAAGCAGGCTAGGGGATGCCAGAAGATTTGGAGAAGTGCCAGGAAGGACCAGCACTTGGAAAGGGCGAGGAAGGAGAGTCAGAGATGGCCTGGGGGTGGTTGGCTTCCTCTCCTGTAGGGGTCTCAGCTTCTGTTTCTAGTCCTGCCATCTCTGGGCAGTATTTCCTGTGGGGAAAATGCTGCATTACTTCTTTTTAGTACTTTCACAAAACAATATGACATGAGTAGTATTTTTATTTTTAAATGCCAGTTGATAAAGGCTTGATTTTACCTTGATTTACTTTGTTATTATGGTGCAGAGGAAGCATTGAGAAGCGATGTCTTATCTTCAGTGCCCTCTCTTTTTACTCCTAGTGTCCCTTTTATCTGTGGTCTTCCTTTATTTGGTGGATCGTGCCCGAGGTAAGAAATTCTGATTCTTTCTTCTCAGGCCCCCGTGGATCATCCTGTGGGATCTCTGGGTTGTCTGCATGCCTCTTTGAGGACCAGCGTTTTATTTAGTTCAAGTGTAGTGACTTCTGTGAATAGTGGTGGAAACACATTTGTGTATGTCCTAGGTAGTTATGCATTGTGCACCGTCATGTTTATTAAAAATGCTGGTACAGTTTTTCATCTTCTAGCAGGTTATTTTAAGTTTTGTAGCATATTAGCATAAAGAAGTATGGTGCTTGCATAAATAATGTAAAGTCCTTGCATATTATTGTCATTTATGTATGTATATATATTTATACACACACATACATTCATACTTACGTACACATATGCACATGCATATTCTGCTTTACTGGGGATTGAACCCAAGGCCTTATGAATGTTAGGGAAGTACTCTACCACGTGAGCTAACACCCTCAGCCCTTTTGCTGGTGTTTTGTTTTTGAGATAGGCGCTCACCAACTCAGCTTGGGCTGTCCTCAAACTTCCAGTCCTCCTGCCACAGCCTCCCATGTAGCTGGCAATATAGACCACCATGCTTGTTGTCTTATATTTAAAAATAAAAATGAGAGTAGGCATATTTATAGCTTCAGTTTGTATTTTAAGGTTAAAGGTGCTTGGTTTAGAATTTGAAGTTGCAGTATTTTAAAAAAAATTTTTTTACTGATATTATTACATGAATTATTGCATTTTAATTGTTCTGTATAGGATTTTATGTTGTCTTTGTTGATTTTTCTATTAATTTTCCTAAAGGGTGTTATGTACTTACAGAATGTAATATACTTTCTGCTTAAATAATCTTAGCCTACTTTCTTTAATTTCTCCTGTTACTGGATATTAATGCAGTGTTCCAATTAGTAAAACCTGAATCAGTACATAATTCTAAACTTAAAGAATGAAAGGCTAAAATTTAAGGAGTGATGATATTACAATAGGATTCTATTTTTCTCATGTTTCATAACTTTCTATTACTTAAAATTAGGCATACATCTGCAAATGTTTGCATGTGTGTATGGTTTTTACTCAGAATACTTAGAGTGAAAGGATTCTGTGTGTTTTAGGTGGGAACTTAAATTATTCTGCAAAACAAAGGGAAGAAATAAAACTTTCTCATACCGAGTAAGTATTAAAAGGGAGAGAAATTGTGTTTATTTTGAAAAATCTTAAAAATTAGCAATTTATTTTAAGTTACTGGGTTTGGGCTTTTAAGAAATTAGTCATTTCTTTGAGTTTTAAGAGCTAATGATTATGTCTGGAACTATTATGACAGAATTGTTGATTGTTTAATTTAACTTAAAAAGATGAATAACTTAAATTATAAGAATAAAATGAGCTGGGCTTCCTGTAGGCATTTTAGTGGCAGAAAGGCCTTTGCGATAAGTTACCTGTTCTAAACTTACTTTACATTTTCTCAAATATTTCCCTTTTTTTAAAAAGTAGTTGAAGTTATTTTTCATCTTGTCTTATGCCAACATGTATTCTGTGCACTCTAACTCATTTAGAACAGATTACAATGAGTAGAGGTGTTTGTTTTTGTTACAGGTATGTTAAAGTATAATAGAAATTCTGTTTCCTGTTATTTCTAATTGTTTTAGATATTGGATTTTTTATTATTTAAAATATATTTGTAAATACACCTACCATATAAGGTAAGATTTTTGACTTTTGCATAGGCTGAAGTCTGGTAGAACAGGCTGTGTTTTAGGGATGGTGTAGTGATTTTGACCATACTAAATTCACTTTTAACATAGTAATTCTACTTCTAGAAATAGATCTTTAAATTATAAGTAATATTGTGAATCTTTGTGATGATTTTATTATGTAAAAAAATTGGACATGACACAGATGTCTCAGAATAAGAAAGTGGTTGAATATGACACATCCATATAATCATATGTTGTCAGGATTTTGTTTTAGAAGGATATTTTAATGCCACAGATACTTAATGTGCTATATTATAGGTAAATAAAAGATAAAATTGACATACAGTATTTAATTTTATTCAAGAAAAAGTATGTAGGAGTGTACATATCTTATAACCCATTGTGAATAATAGAGAAAATACTGAAAGGAATGATGCCCATATAATAACAGTTCCATTTGAATGGCAAGGTTAGAAGGGTTGGAGGTTTTTTCCGGCTTTTTCATATTTTCCAAATTTTCTACATTGATCTTCAGTTAGTTTTTCAATGAAGAAGAGTTAAAAAATTAACAAGAAAAGTTAATTAACTTAACAATATTTGACGTCACATCTCTTACAGTGTTAATGGTTTTCATTTTGTGAACCAGATGGGACTTCCTGTTTCTTTCTTCCTCTTTTTGATAATTTATTGCATTATGTTTTGCAGATGAGAAGTTACTAAATGACTGTGGCTTAAGGATGGGCTGGACACACCACTGATTTGCAAACCTTCATCTCCATTCATTTTTTAAATTTTAGAGTTTAGTCATTAGGGAAAGTAATGGAGTGCAAAGTCACAGTTCTATTTCAGATGCACCTACTTCAAAGAGTGTTTGCAAGGACTGTCTTAGCCTGTGTCATTTGTACTCTGTGTTGCTGAAGAATTCTACTTCAGGCTGATCAACAGCGAACAGTTTAGAAAACTGGTGAACTTCAGGAAGTGCAGTCAATAATGGAAAATATTATCTTGTGTTGAGATAACTTGCACTATGTCTTAGGGATGTGGTCTTTGTCTTATAGTAGAGCCTCTCTTCCCCAACCCTGAACCTTTTGAGGTTGCAGATGGGCTGTTTTACTTAGAACAAATGACCGCATTGTGACGGGCATTCCCTTGTATGGAGAATGATAGGAACTTGCTTCACATTTGCCACTAGCAGATTGTGCCCTGCTGTCCTTACGAGGGCTGCTAAACAGTGGCTCTTGGGAGTTTATCTCCCTGTTACTAAGGAAGCTAATAACTTAGGGACATAATTTTGCAGTACAAACTTTCTGAACATTTTTGTAGACCAATTAACTAAAAAAGTTTATGATGCTAATTGCCTGCCTAGGTGCCTACATGGATAAATAAAACACTGCAAAAGGGATAATTGATGCTTTTTGATGTTTAAAAATATTAGTGCACACCACATTTTCTTTATCCATGATGGGCATCTAGGCTGGTTCCATGACTGCCTGTCATGGACAGTGAGTAGTACTGTGGTGTGCGGCCTGTGTTCACAGTGGAGTATTCAGCTATTAAGAACAAAATCATGTTTGCATGAAAGTGTATGGAACTGGGAATCATGATAAATGAAACAAGACAGATCCAGAAGATAGGCATCCTGTGTGGGTTCAAAATAAATAAAACATACATGAAAGTAGGAGGAACTACTGAGGAATAGGAAGGGAATCAGTGTGGGGAGGAGATAAATGTAACCAAAGTACTTTCTATACCTGTATGAAAATGTCAATGAAGGCTCTATTTTGTATAATTAATATACACTAATAAAAATATTAAAGCACTGACTTTTATTCATGTGGAATATTATCTGTAAGAAAGTCTAAATTGGAAAAAAATGTGCCTAGTCATAGTCACTGAAAGATTATGGGTAGTTTTTTCCTTCAGGGTTGTACTTTCAGCATTTTTAAAGTGTGTGTGTGTGTGTGTGTGTAATATGAATATGAAGCATTTCTAACAAGCTTTAAACACTTTGCAATGGATGGAGTCTTAACACATATTTATTAGTGTTAAGGGATTTTCATGTGTCCTACTCTTTCTGGCTGTTATGGTTTGGATGTTCCCCACAGGCTTCCAAAGGGCTCATGTATCGAAGGGTTGGTCTGTAGCTAGTGGCACCATTTTGGAATGGTTGGTGGGTCATTCCAAATGATTGAGGAAGTGGGTTCACTGGGGCCATGTCCTTGAGGGCTGTGTCTTGTCCAGGGCACCATATCTCACGTCGCTTTCTCCCCTCCTCTTCCTTTCCCTTCCTACATTTTCTTATCCATTTATCAGCTGATGGACACTCAGGTTGTTTCTGTTTTTTGGCTCTTGTGAATAGTGCTGCAGTAAACATGGGTATTATGGTCATCCTTAGTTTATGAAACAAGGATATGGTTGATTTCCATTGTCTGTGGAACTCTCTCTGTGCCTTGTTGTTTAATTGATGAATTGGAAAAGTGCTCACCAGGATTGTGCACACTCCTGTGGGCACTGCCCCCAGGGGTAACAGGATGTTTTCCAGGATTTCTGGTTAGAATGGACTATGCCCAGATAGCTAGAAGTGTGGGCTAATGATGCTCTCAGCCTTCTTGTAAGGTTTACCCCTCTTGCAATACTGAGGCTGTTCAGTTTTCCAAGGAAAATCTGATTATTCTGGGGTCTGTCTCTTACCATGTACAGGTGGTTTTTAACTTTTGAAACAGACCTTAGTTACCACAAGGATAGGTAAATGAGTTTCTCCCCCCACACCCTCTGTAGAGCCCAGATAAGAGTAAAGTGGATAAGGTGTGTGGATAAGGTGTATGGGGGTGAGGGGTTGAGTGAGGTGACTTGGGAGGGGGATGAGAGAGGCTGGGCTTGTGTTGGCAGCAACAGGGCACAAGAATTGGGCTGAGAAAAACTGGGAGAATTAGCAAGAAGCTGGGCCAGGAATGTGGGGAGGTGGTGGGGACAGGAACTGAGATTTTAAAGTCCTCATCATGGAGGGAGTGAGAGTGTTGGAAGGTCAGGGTCCTCTTGGGTTCTGGTGGGGTCTGTGGAGGTAGAGTCTAGGCCTGGTGGGTAGCAGAGTGCAGGGAATGGACTTGAGGACAGCCATATTTAATGGATATTCACAAATGTTTTCCATGACTTTAATTTGCATTCACAGTTCTGTGAGTTTGAAGAGAGATTTTTGTTACAGTCCCCACAGTGAGGATGCAGAACTGTTCAAAGGAAAAATACTACGATTGTTTTTATTTTTTTGGTGGGATTGGTGTTTGAACTGAGGGCTTCTCAATTGCAAAGCAGGCGCTCTACCACTTGAGCCACACCCCCAGTCCATTTTGCTCTGGTTATTTTGGAGATGGGATCTTACGGACTATTTGCCTGGGCTGACTTTGAACTGCGATTCTCCAAATCTCAGCCTCCCAAGTAGCTAGGATTACAGTTGTGATTCCTTGCTTTTGAAGATAACATATATGTATTTACTTTATATGGAAATATTTGAGTTGTCTTAGAAAGTTTTGACTTTCCAGCACTTAGATTTTTAAAAAATTCTTTCTAGTCTGTCTAGTGACTAAATACATAAAGCTTTTAAGGTCATGGTATTTAAATTAACATTTCGTATTTCATAGACTGCAAGTTTTCATCTTTTAGCATCTGAAATTGGTTTGTCTTATCTTTGATAGTACCCCATGATTCAAAGAAATATAGTACTGAGGAAAACCAGGCACGGTGCTTGTAGTGATGTAATGTTGCTGGCTGGTGTAAGATAGACATAGACTTTTGTGCCATGATTATTTGTGCCATCATTGACCCTAAGGCTTTTTACTAAAGCTGGTGGTTCAGAGAGGTAGAAGCAATGGCCCACCTTGCTCAGGTGTTGCATCAGTGAGTAGGGCTTTCAGGCACAGATTCAGTGACTTAATGATGCGGACTAGCATAGAGCAATGACTAGGGAGTTAGGGTTTAGAGAACTTGGGAAATTCCAAGATTCCTAGAGGAGATGCTCTTTGAACTGTGTTGTGATGGATGAGCAAGATGACTGATCGAGGCAGAGAAGCGGCAGGGCGAGCGTGAGGAGGAGAAAAGCAGTCTTGGAGCTGAGGCTTGAGAGGATGCTGGGTAATGGAAATGGGGCGAGAGTGTTTGTAAAGGTGGATCGCTGAAGTCCTTTCCGTATTCATGATTGTGATCTTAATTTTTTGAGTATTGGAAGATTTTTTTTGCTGGGGATTGTCAAAATAGGATTTGCGTTTTAGAAGCAGAAGGAAAGAAATGGGTTGGGAGCAGAGAGAGCAAATCTGGAGGTAGGAGAATGGTTAATGCGTTGGAGCAGGCATGCTGGAGAGATGATGGGACTTGAATTGAGGCCATAGTAGGGAAGAGGGAGGGGACAGGCACTGGTTTTGCCTGGAAGGTTGAGCTGAAGAATGTATGGGATGTGAGGTGGAAGACAGGCTAGAATAAAGGTTAGCCCTTAGATTTTTGGCTTGGATGGATTACAGTGCCATCCAAGGAAGACCACAAGCAGGAAGCTGCAGGTTTGGGAGTAAAGTGAGTTCAGCTTGGCTTTGTGGAGCTTGCAGTACCGAAGAGACTTGTGTGGTATGTGTCATCACCCTGAATGGACATGAATGGGAAGGAAATGTGTTCATAATGGCAGAGGACTGCCCCAGAGAGAGGTTTGGGAACCATCAGAGTCAGTGAGCTGGCCCAGGAGAGCATGAGATGATCGGAGGAGAATGCCAAGAGTATTGCCCTGGAACACACCGACTCACACAGGGAGGGGAAATCTGGAAGCCGAGGACAGCTGAAGAGAGCAGGTGATAGTGACAAATAGCATGAAAAGGTCAAGCAGGAGAGAGAGGAGGTGTATATTCATTGAAACTGTGTTAAGAACAATTCTAGTGGAATGGGATGGTGGGCAGGCAGCAGCCTGTAATGATTTGGAGAATGAGCTCTAGGTAGATATTGCAATAAAAAATGTAACCTACCTTTCCAAGAAATAGGCCATAAAAGAAGAGAGAAGTGGCACTTTTTGCTTTGTGTTCGTGATTTAGGCACTCTAAAAATGCCCAACTATAGCTTGCTGCAAGAACATAAGTTCTGCTCCTTGTCACAGTGTTCTTAAAGCCATTATCTTTGAAGTTGTTTGACACATTAAAAAAACAAAAAGTTGGGAAATCAAAATTCTAAAGAGATGTAGCTTACTTGCAAGAAAGTAAAAGATAATGAGAGTACACAAAATAAGCTCAGGTTATGCTTAATTGTGAGTTGATTTTGTGAAGAATTTCCCCTCCTTATTGTCGGAAAATAGGCTAAAAAGAAAAAGTGAAATGTTTGCAGGTAGTATGTGTTCTGAAATTTAATTGAATTGAAGATGGTGAGTGTTAGAACAAATAATTCCAAACAACTCATGACTTAGCTTATAGGCATATGTACATAAAATGGATTTAGCTATTTAGCTATAGTTTTGGAAAAGCATGCACAAGAGAATTTGCTATGTGTTCATTTATTCTGCCATGATTTACTGAATGTCCATATGTTCAAGGCTTTGATAGATCCTGAAGGAGGGGAATGATACAAGGGGAGAAGTGCCTTAAAAGAGGCACTGAGGAGGGAGAGGGCCTGCTGATGGGTGATCAGGGGGGTTTCTTGGAAGAGGTGGCATTTGAGCTGTTTGCTGAGACAGTTGTTCTCTTTGATTAGTCTGGATTATGTTGACTTCTTTCTTGAAGCTGTTCACTCATTTGATTTTCCTCTGCTTTCTTGGCAACTCCTACCCCTGTGCTATCTGTCAGGGTTTTTATTTTTCCTGTATATTTTAGGTCTTCTCTCTTTTCCCTTTCCTTCTGCTTCAGAGATGTCATTTAATGATGTGGTTTTGAATATTTGTCTCCACAGGTAACTCCAAACCCAGTTTAAGTTGTCTCTGACCTCCATGATACATTTCCACCTGAGGTGTCACTGGCTGTTCCCATGTAACTTGTCTGAATCTGAACCTTTCCACACAATGCCCTCTCCTGTTCCTTCTTACCTTCCTTCCTCCTCACCTGCTACCAAGTATCTCCTTTGTGCTAGATGCTAGTTCATCACTGTTTGCTCAAGCTCACAGACTGAGTTATTTTTGTTGTGTCTCCCTACCCATCACATCCAAATCATCCTTTTCTTTCTCTTCATTCTTTCCAGTATATTCTAAGGGTTGAATTGTACCCATTATCTGTGATTTGGATCCCTGCATATGTCTTCTGATGCTATAGTTTTCCTCTTCCCCCCTTCATTCTCAGCATCTCGATTGCTAACTAAGTGCCTGCCATGGTCAGAATGTCGCAAACACTGTTCTATAAGTTGAAAATGGAGTGATAGGGCGATAAAACAGACCTGCAATGAAAAGGGGGACTGTCATCAATGCCAAGGTGGTCAGCCCAGTGAGGGAGTCAACATTTCAGAGTACTGTTGAGGCAGCTGGAGGAGGTGGACTCCAAGGTCTGTGGGAGGTGAGAACTTAGGCCTTTGGAGAAGCTCTTCTGTGGGGTGTTAGAGTTGGGAGGCAGTGGGCCTGGGAAAGGGTAGGTATGGAATGCCGTGTGGTGTGGATGGAGAGCTGGGAGTGGAAGATTCAATTGGGACTAGCCTGTGATGGGGCTGTAGAACTGAAGCTCTAGGTAGGGAGGGACCTGGAATTGGGGAAGAGGATGGATAGAAAATACTGTTTTAAAGAAACAGTATTGAAAGCACTGAAGGTGCTGTGCAGAATGGCTTTGAAGGAAGGAAGGCTTTGCAGGAGTCTTAGCTGTGACATTTTGTTTCTTTTCTCTAATTCATTCAAGTCATGGGGGCTGTCAGCTGTCAGATTAACAGATCACAACCTTGATCATACCATGCTGCTCAGGTGCCTTGAAGAATGGCATTTTTGCTGGCTTTTGGAGGGCTCTGCAATCATACTTTAGCCTGCACTTCCAGTATTGTCTCCACCTCCTTCCCTTCAGGAACCAACAGATGAATCTCACACAAATTAAATTTACGATACGCTCTTTCCATATCCCCCACTGCTTGGGAAATTCTTCCAATTGAGATTTCATTCATCCTTCAGCATACTCAAAACCTGTGGTCTCCCCACTCTCTCCTGCCCTCTGCCACCCCAAACTTCGCTGGTACTGATCGCCTGCATTGTGCATTAGATCATCGGCAGCTGATGATGTGGCTACTTCTGTAGCTACTTAAACTGTTAGTGCTCACAGTGTTATTTTGTTTTTTTTTTTTTGTCTGCTGGATAACCTCCTTAGGGGTTGGGACCATGTGTGACACTCAATGACCACAACCATTGTGTTTTCATCCATTCATGGTAGTTTGAAAATGATGACAGTTGACCTTAAGTTTTGCTGTCACTTACCTAAACACCCAGGAAGATTATAGAAGACGTTGTGGATTCAGGGGGATAACAGATTTGAGGGTCTCGGCTTTCCTTACAGTGGTGGGCACTGAACGGATACATGTAGGAAGAACAGTTGTTTTTTCTGCTTTCCGTGTCAACTTTTTGCTAATCACAAGGGAAATGGGGAATATCCTCTTACAATGGATAGTGGATTCCCAGCTCTGCTCCTAGTGGGAATAGTTCAGTTTGATTCTATCATCTTGAGACACCTGTCCCTGAAAACCTAAGGATATGATGTTAACTAAGTTCAAGTTTTGATCCCAGGTTTCTATAATTAAGTTAAAAATGAGTGCTCATAATTTACTGTTAAGTAGGTAAAAAAAAAAAAACTCAGCAGAAGCAAAATTAGCTTTAGCTGGATCAGAGCAATAATCACAGGCACATAGGTTAACCTAGACTTAAAGGCAGGAAACCTTTGGCCAGGAGTGTAGAGTATGCTTTAGGGGAAGGTAGTGCATCTTGAGGATTCTAGGCTAGTTTTCTTCCCACTTCCAGTGGGCAGGGTGGTGGATATTAGAGGTAGTGGCCTAGTGTGTCATGGGATGGTGCCAAGCTGTTACTGGGGGCCTGTGCATGAATTCTCCAGTAGTACTGAACTGCATTAATTTGTAAGGGGTGATAATTAGAACTGTAAAATCAGCTGAAGCTTCCCTGAATGCTGTGCACAGAAAGGGACAAATTAATAATACAAGTGAGAGAGCTGAGAGAATGCTCAAAAGAACAAACAATTCTAAGCTCGGTCAGCTTCTGTAGAAACATTTATGTGGAAACAGCTGACCTGCTAATTAGAAAACATCCTTGCCTATTCATTAGACCAATTATGCTGAGAAATTCTGCTAAGCAACACTTAGTCTAGTTCTAATTGCCTGGCCTTGAAAGCAATAAACTGTACTTTCAAATAAAATTTTATAATTTAGATATGCACACTGTACTCAGACATCTCCCATAATTAGAATTGTATAATAATGAGGGAGTTATATGAAGAGAATTTATCCACCTCTTCATGGGCAGATTATAATGAATTATTAGGTGACTTATGTTTAGATCTGAAAAGTCCTTGCAGAGCATTATTTAAATATGAGAGGTTTTAAGCCTTTTTGGATTGCGTTGGTTCTTAAATGCATTGAAAGTGGTAACTTTTTTTTCATGAAATGAGATATGTTTAAATTAAAAATAAGCAAATTGTGGTTCATGCAGCCATTTTCCTCTGTATCTGTTGCTTTGTTCTGCAGAGCTTTTCCTAAGTAGAGAACTGGTTGAGAAATGCTGTGAGAGAGCACATGGGGTATGCTTAGCAGCTGTGTAAAGAGTCAATCTAAAATGACCAGCATGCTGTTAGGAGAGCTTGGGTCAGCTCCTGATTAGAGTTTTTAAAAATTTTTTATTTTATTTTATTTTTTGGTGGTACTGGGGTTTGACACTTTACCACTTGAGTCACTCCACCAGTCCTGTTTCAAGATAGGGTTTCACGAACTATTTGCCTGGACTGGCTTTGAACTGTGATCCTTCTGATCTCTGCTTCCTGAGTAGCTAGGATTACAGGCATGAGCCACCAACACCCAGATCTGATTGTTGTTTGTATAGAGCCTGAGCTTCTAGCAAAGGAGCACATGTTTCAGAGGCCACTGCCTGCATTCAACTCTATGATCTGTGTGTTGTTCAGCTGGGTGAGCTTGACAAGTTAGTGCTCTGTGCTTAGTCTCAATCTCTATAAATGGGGGTGACAGCACCCAATTCCAAGGGCTATCAGGAGGTCTTAGTAAGGTCTTTATTCACTCTTTCCTCACCTCTTCCCTCCCTCCCCTTCCTCTCTCTTTCCTTGTCTCTCTCTCTCTCTCTCTCTCTCTCTCCCTCTCTGCCTCCCTCCTTCCCTTATTCACCAGCCCCTATCTGTTGTACAACTTCTCTGCTGCATGCTGGACCCTGCTGTAGAGGCTGGTGTTTGGGTTCAGCAGTAAGACAGGGTTCTTTTCCTATGGGAACTTACCTACCAGTGGGAAGAGATGGGCCACAAATAAATTAACAAATTAATATGTCCAAGTAGTAATTCTTCCACAGATAATAGATTGGGTTAAGGCAATAGATTGGGTTAAGGGGAAGAGGTCAACATTAGCCAGTGTGGGCAGAAGTGGCTTCTGAGATGGTGACATTTAGCTGAGACTGAATGACAAGAGATAAATGTCAGCTCTCATTAAAATTTAAAAATTCTCCTTTGTGTTGGTGGCTCCCTCCATATTATTACTTTAAAATTTCTTAATGCCAATATAAAGTTCTTTCCACAGGACCCTTGTGGGAGGACTGGAGCCCCTCTCCCACTCATCCTCTGTCTGTTCAACATCATTGTGAGTAATGGTTGGCCTCACCTTGGCAGTGCCCAGATCTGCCTGGCCCCTGGTGCCCCTTTGGCTGCCCTGGCTGGGTACTCGCCCACCTTGTTCTTGTGTAGTCTCTGGAGAAGCCTGACTCCTTGGTTGCCTCCAGACAGAAAGTAAAGGATGGGGTTGAGGCAGCAGCTCATGCTCACCAGAGGCCTGCAGACCTTGTAGGCCACGCTGGCTGCCATCACAAGCCGGCAGTCCTGGGCACTGAGGAAGCAGATGAAGAGGTAGAAGGAGCGGGCGATATGGTAGGGCAAAAAGCACAGAGTAAAGAGACCGCACACCAGCAGGATGGTCCGGATGGACTTAGCCCGGGCTGGATGGCCCATCCTTGAGAGAGTCTCCTCTGGCTTTGTCAGGCTTCTGATCATCAGCGAGTAGCACACCAGAATAACCAAGAAGGGAAAGATGAAGCCGGAAAATGTGAGAACCGTGCCATAGGCAAAAAACTGATCAAAATGCTCCGGGATGGTCGTGTCATAGCAGATTACTTGGCCATTTACATAGTCTGTTTGGGAGAAGACCAGTGTGGGTAGCAGCTGGAGGAACACCAGGGTCCAGGTGACAGTAGCGCCCAGCCGTGCAAGGCGGCGGGTCCGGTAGGGCAGGGAACGCAGCGGGTGGCACACGCCTAGAAAGCGGTGCACAGAGATGCAGGTCAGCAGCAGGATGCTGCAATAGAGATTGGTGTAGAACAGAAAGCGCACCAGCCTGCAGAGCGGCCCCCCGAAGAGCCAGGTGTCACCCACAGCATAGGTGATGACGAAGAAGGGCAGTGTAAGGACATAAAGCAGGTCAGCCACCATCAGGTTCACTAGATAAATGGTGTTACAACTCCAGGGCTCGGCTTGCTGCCAGGAGAGCCATAAGACAGCACCATTCAGGGGCAGCGCAAGGATGAAGATGATACTGTAAGTCAGAGAGAGGAGGATTTGCTTGTAGGTCTCTGAGAACTGACAGTGACCCTGTTGCTCTGAGGCATTTGTGTCTGGCATCTCCATCTCCTGGCAGGCTCCCTCCAGGGGCTGAGTCTGCCACAGCTTCCACTTCTGCTTTCCCTGGAAGGAAACAAAATGGAAAACATGGCCTGAGCTGGGTGCTGGCCTCCCCTTGACCTGGCACTCAACTCTGTGCTCCCAGCTCCAGGGGGAAAAAAGAGATAAACCAGGCCCAAAGGAGTGGTCTCACCTTGACTTGTATGCCTTCTGCTCTAGGCTAGATTGTGGTAGGGAGATCAGTAATGTGGTGGCTGGAAGACACTGCTGTCATTTAAATGGGGCACACAGAACCCTTTGCATGGAGTCAGGAAAGCTCTGAGGGGAGACACTCCAGCCGGAGAAATGCTCCCAGGAGCAATACTGCTCACCAGCTGGTCCTAAGCTCACAGACCATTGTGGAAAGGAAAGGAAAGGGATCCTTGGGGTTTTAGGGAGGATTAGGAAAAGCATAGGTTTTGCCTATCAGCTTTCTGGGGGATTTTGATTTGTGTCTCTTTCAGGGTTTATTGACTGCATATTTGAATCCTGAGGCTGATTTGCTTGTAAAACATCTCAGCCTTCTGAGCATCTAAGACAACAAACTTGAGCCAGCAAGCCAGGTGCAGCATTTTTCTCATTTCCATTCCTGCTGACAGAGAAGGTCCAATGGGTACATCCAGTGGCAACGGAAGCTGTGTGGGGAAGTTTCTGTCACATTAGGGAAGTCTCTGTGCAAGTTAGTCGGCATAAAGTCCATGGGAATGTAAAGAAATTTAATTCTAGGCTTAATATTGGAAACTTACCACTTAGACCTGTTAAAACAAGGGAAGAGAAGGTGGGTGTGGTAGTGTGTACTTGTAGTCCCAGCCACTTTACTTGGGAGGCTAAGGCAGGAGGATAGCTTGAGCCCAGGAATTTGAAGCCAGCCTAGGCAATATAGCTAGACCCTGACTCAACAAACAAACATCAAAAATGGGAAGAGGGAAGAGTTTAAGGTAGGTAATTTGGGAATAAACAGTGTAGACTATAAGCTATAATATATAGAGCATTATTCCCACACACACACACAGAAAAGAATGGAGACATCACAACAATCCTTTGTTGAGCATTTATTTAGACTCTGGAGATAGAAAAGATGAATAAGCCAGGTCTTTACTCTCCAGGATCTCACTATCTGGTGGGAAAGATAGAAATGGATAGAGTTCATTGTAACAAGTGAAAAATGGTCAACCAAAAGTTGTGAAAATCAGCAGGTACGGCATTCTCCCCTGAGAGAGCCGAGTGAAGGCCTCTTAGAACCAGCAGCTTTGAGCTCTGGGGACAATAATCAGGAGCTTGCTAGGCAGAGAAGGACAAGGTATGGGAAGCACCTGCAATGGGATGGAAGTTAGAAGGCCACCATGTGTGCTGGGGACAATGCAGAGTCAGCCCCGGGGATGATTCTACTGTAAGGAAGGGGGCTGTAAGGCGGGGATAAGGCTGATGTGACAGTTCACATTAGGTGTCCACTTGCTTGAATTAAGGAGACACCAGAGAGCTGGCAGAATGTTATTCCCAGGTATGTCTGTGAGGAAGCTGGGACACTGCCCTCAGACATCAGAACCCCAGGTTCTCTGGCCCTGGGTTCTAAGACTTACCCCATGTCCCCTAGTTCTGAGGCCTGTGGACACAGACCGAGATAGGCCATCGGCTTCCCTGGCTCCCCAGCTTGCAGAGGGCACATTTTGGGACTTCTCAGCCACCATAATCCCACACATCAGCTTCTGTAACAAATCTCTACTCACCCCTCTCTGTATCTTACTGGTCCTGCCCTGGGGAACCCTGACTAGCACAGCTGGGTTTGAGGAAGATACTGTGGCAGCAGGAATCTGGGCTTATAGCTAGGAGAGGCCAGTCAGACTAGTAAGGGGCTTTTGTTCTGGAGGCAGGCAGGATTCACGTGTACCCAGCAAGGCCATGCAGTCATACAGCAGGGACTAGACAGACCCCAGAGGCACTGCGGAGGTCTGGCTGACATGAGACATGAGCCTGAGGAGGGGTTGAGGGTGTCCCTGAGCTCCTCAGCATTGGGATCTGGTGCATGGTGAGACCAGGGTCTGGGAGTGACCATGCTGGCAATCTGAGTTAGTGGGGGATGGAGGTGCTCAGTGCCTCAGTCTGCCAAGTACGTCGCTACTCTCCAACTGGCTTAAAAACCTACCTGACTGGGAAAGGAAGGTTCTTTGGCTGGGAGAGGAAATGAATGTAGTTTTCATTCATTTTGCTCTCTGTAATCTTTCATGCTGGGACTCTGGTAATGCTTAGTAATTTTCCATGAAGCTGCCATCCCAGCTCAGTGTGGGTTTTCAGGGGGAAGCCAAGGAGAGAACCAGCCTTGACTCAGCACAGGCTTGGCCAGGCAATCACACATGAGATCTTATTTATTCTCAAGAACAACCTTTGTGAATGAAGCACTGTCTTTGTATTCCTAATGAGAAACGTAAGAATCAGAAAAAAATCCCTTCAGGGCTCATCAGGAGCCTCAACTGGAAGACCTGCCCCCACCCAGGACTGCTCTGATGTAGGGAAAAGTACTCTGATCCCACCTCTGCCAGGGACCAGGCAGAAGTGGTTGAACAGCCTGAAGCAGTCTCTGAGCCACACTTTCCTTTGCGGTGAACTGGGAAGATCCCTCTCTGATGACTGGCTATGGGAATGAATTATCTGGGACAGAGGCAAGTGCCCCTCAGGCCTGCCACAATGGATACATGCCCAACACATTCAGTTGCTTTCCTGCCCCTCTATTCACCCTCTTGCACAGAATAGGGTGACCTGGAAACCTGAGTTCTTTGATTTATGTGGGCCAGTGGGAAGGCAGGTGTGGCCTTGCTATCCCATGGTTGGGCAGGACCATTTTTCTTCCTGGCTGTTACCTTCTATGAACTGAATTTGGTCTTTAACTCATATTTTGAAGGTCTAACCCCAGTGCATCTGTATTTGGAGTAAGGAGTAAGGTCATAAGAACTCTGGAGGCTGAGGCAGGGGGATCACAAAGTTTGAGGCCAGCCTGGGCTACCTAGTGAGAGATGCTGTTGCAAAAAAAAAATGATCATGACTGAACCAAGGGCGTTGTGCGTAAGCACCACTGACCTACATTTCCAGTCCCCAGAAAACTTTCTTTAGCAAATGAATCCATTTAGTGGAATCTTGTAAATGCATTTTGATGGTAAAAATTTGTTTTACAAGATTTTGTTTTGCAAAAACTGTTGATATACATTTACCTATTTATGTATGTGCACATTTATCTGTATATATCTAGATTTCTTAATTTACAAAGATGAGTTAGGAGCTATTCATATCACAACATGACCATTTTATGGGTTTCTTTAAATGGAGGACTCCCTTTAATTACGTGGTGTATAAAAGTGGCAGATGGTTTACTTTGAATTAATTTTGTTTCAAATCCATTAGATAATTTGAGGCTATTTATGCAATTTACCACTGGGTGGCGATAAAGACCACAGACAGGTTACAATTCTCCCATCCCAATGCAAATGAAAACCAGAATTGGGTTGGGCTCCGTCCAACCTGTACTTCTGTCTAGGTACAGCAGATGTGGATGAGATATAATTCATTGGGGGCATGTAAAAAATTCCACCCACAAACCCATCTCTTATTGCCAGTCATCTACAGTTACTATGTTAGGGTTACACAAAGATAAGGATTTCCAGTTAGCTCAGAGCCACCTGTTGTGACTGTTCTACAAAAGATCCTGTGAAACAGGCGTGGAAGACTTTATTCTCCCCATCATTTTACAGCTGAGAGACCCAGGTACAGAGAGGTCAAATGGAAAATCATGTCTGATGATTTTTTTAAAACAGAACAGAGATCCAACAGATCACCAGATTTCCCGGGAATACTTTCTTAACTACTTATCTCCTCCCGCTCCACAACCCCCTGCCACTGCCACCCAAAAAAGTAAGACATGAAAATAAAGTAGCAAGCCATCCCTGAAGTTACTAAATGTGCTGCTTTTGTGACAGACCACAGCACCCTACTTCAAAAACCATGATTTGAAGATAATAGTAAAAAGAGAGATAATAGAATACAGTGTCTCCCCTTATCTGTGGCTTTGTTTTCTGAGTTTGTTATTGGTGGTCAGTCACAGTCCAAAAATATTCAATGGAATATTCCAGCAATATACAATTCAGAAGTAGCACAATGCAATCTCTTGTTGTCCAGCTCTGTGCCAGGAGCCATCCCTTTGTCAGGTGTATCCATGCTGTATATACTACCTGCCTGTCAGCCACTTGGTAGCCAACTAGAGTATCAGCTGGATTGCCATGGTATTGAAGTGCTTGTGTTCAAGCAACTGTTATTTTACTTAATAGCCCCAAACACAAACATTTATTACAGTATTTTGTTATAATTGTTCTATTTTACTATTAGTTATTGCTGCTAATATCTTACTGTGCCTAATTTCTAAATCAAACTTTATCGAAGATATATGCGTGTAGGAAAAAACCTAGTATATGTAGGGCTCCGTACTATCCATACAGGGTGTCTAGATGGCCGGGGGAGGGGGCAATCGAATATAAAATGTCAAAATACTGTTAAGAATGAGCCATACATAGCAACCACCACCCAGTTTGAAAGTTTGCCTTGAGAGTTAAGATAGAAGCATGGATGGTTTTTTTTTTTTTTTTTTTTTAATGGATGGTTTTTTGTAATGGTTTTCCAGTGCATTTTTAGAGTGTGGGCTTATGTCTGCTCTGTGCCTTGATCCCCCTTTGATGTTTGAATTCTCTTGAAATGTGGGATTCCAAGGGCTTTTATTTTTCACAATGAAAGCAATTTGTATCCTTTAAATAATTTAAAAGTCTGTCTCGAGACACTGAGTACTTAATTTCAATAATTAATTTATATAGCAGCTTGCACATTTTTGTTTTCTGTTGACAAGGATCTGACATAACTGGCAGTTTCAACTCTGTGAACAGGGTGTGACTGGGGAACATTGTGTGTCGCAGCAGAGAAGTTTCTGGAATGGATGTTACTCTGTCTGGAAAAATAGTGGCACTGTGCTCTTGTTGATCCTTCTGTATGAATGCATGATGCCTCAAACTGACTCTAAAATCAGAAATTCAAACTTTAATTAAAGATGCAGTGAAGGTCACCATTATGTCTTATTTCTTTTCATTTAGCATCAAAGCTCTTTCAACTGAGTCTTGTCTGTGTGTGAAGGACAAGAGAGGAGAGCAGATGCAGAGCTTGGAGCTTCAGGACCAGAGGTAACGTCGCCCAAGGCATCTGAGACCTGAGTGCTTACACCTCAGGGCCCTTGCTTCCATTTCTTCTTTCCCTCTGGTAGCAAATGAGTTCCTCTCATGGCCTGCCCCCGCAGATGCTGCTTAAAGTAGTGGCAGGCAGCCTACTGTCAGAG